GTATTTCCATTTTCTTCACATCAATAAATAGTGGTACATCCAGATAGTTGACAACACAGTTGATTCATTTGTTTTGCCTGAGAAATTATATTTTCTGGAGTTAGTCCTAAGTGTGGTAGGTAAAATTTGGTAACTGTTATGCCATCATGTTGATTGAGTAGGCTATGTGGTCTCCAGGTATGGTGTTTTCCACGAGTCCTAGAGTTCCCGCGTTCAATCCCCTGTAAGGGCTTGGAATTTTTTACGTGGACTTGGACTTCCAGTAATTTTCCCTCGTCTCTGGGTAGTAAGATCGGACGGCCGTGTGTATTGTTGCGCACGTAAACAATTTCCTAGGAGTTGGAAATGGAAAAGAATAGCCTAACGGCGCTGAACGGGCAAAATTTTGAGTTAAAAATCTACCCAAAGTATTTCAGGATCCTCGCCAGTGCTGCAGAGCTTGTGCATTGTGCTGAGCTTCTTCGGACTCAGACTTGAGTTAGAAGAAGAACGAAGCACTTATTGGTTACTACCCGTGTGCCATGATGTTAATCGGTTGTTCAAACCTCAAACCATAATGTTGATTGCTTGTCTACTTGTTTAATATGTTTCTTGTGCGTACATTTTCAGTATTTCTGTAATTTGTTCGTTGATAAAGATGTCGGTCTAAACATTCAATGGAAAAATGTTTGACTTTCTTTTTGTCGAGCTTTCTGGTATTTATTAACTTTTACTCTAATTTTGAAAAGCGTAATTAAAAGGGATAAGAAACAAAGAATTCATTGACTGGAATAATGAAAATTTCAAAGCATAAACATTTGAATGTATCTTGTAGAAAACGTCACATCCGTAAACATGGATACATTTGTTTACCACGTGTTGACAGGAGTCCATAAAATGTTTTGTCCGGTTCAGCTTTTCGCGAACTGCGCAGGGAAGTATATTTTCTAATGGAGCATTCCTGGAAACGGATAAGCCGATAGGACTGTCTCTGGTGGCTGGTCTGTGGCTAAGAAAACTGTGGGTGCGCATCGGCGCAGGAAAATAAATCAAGAACGGAATGGGGGGTTATAACTGATATTGAATTTTAGATCGACTCGACCTGAAATCATTGCTAGAAAACTGTCTAAGAGGTAAGGTCTACCGGCGTAAAGTCTACTACCACGTCTATAGAACGTCAGTGTGCTTGTACGCTCATGTAATGCCTTCTTCTTCTTCTTCTTCTTCTTCTTCTTCTTCTTCTTCTTCTTCTTCTTCTTCTTCTTCTTCTTCTTCTTTTTCTTCTTTCTTCTCTCTTCTTTCTTCTTCTTCTTCTTTCTTCTCTCTTCTTTCTTCTTCTTCTTCTTTCTTCTTCTTCTTCTTCTTCTTCTTCTTCTTCTTCTTCTTCTTCTTCTTCTTCTTCTTCTTCTTCTTCTTCTTCTTCTTCTTCTTCTTCTTCTTTCTTCTCTCTTCTTTCTTCTTCTTCTTTCTTCTTCTTCTTCTTCTTCTTCTTCTTCTTCTTCTTCTTCTTCTTCTTCTTCTTCTTCTTCTTCTTCTTCTTCTTCTTCTTCTTCTTCTTCTTCTTCTTCTTCTTCTTTTTCTTCTTCTTCTTCTTCTTTCTTCTTCTTTCTTCTTCTTCTTTCTTCTTCTTCTTCTTCTTTTTCTTCTTCTTCTTCTTCTTCTTCTTCTTCTTCTTCTTCTTCTTCTTCTTCTTCTTCTTCTTCTTCTTCTTTTTCTTCTTCTTCTTCGCGTCGTCAGGGCAGGAAAAGATATCTGGAACCACCCTTATCTTCGCTTTATGTATAGTATTTTCTGTGTCTCTGATATTTCTGCGGTCCATGTTCTGCGTGTTTATACTCTGGCTATATTACCGCTGTAAGTATACATACAACACAGCTCTGGGTGGTGCCCTGTCTGATACCAATCTTGTCACCCCTCCATCTGTCGTCAACGGTAAAGTTCAGTATTGTTGCTTTGCTCGTCATGTTTCTGTGGTGTCTCTTTTACTTCCTACAACCATTTCTTGTGCCCTACTGCTTATGTCTTAGAGCTCTGCAGAGAAGAGTCAGATGTAGTTTCCTGTATTTTGCCAGTTGCCAAGCTTGTATTGGGAGTCGACATGGCGTAGCGGCTAGACGCCAGCGTGCGGATCGGAAGGTCGTGGTTTCGCTTCCTGGTGGAGCCGGAATTTTTTTTTTAATTAAAAAAGGACCCAGCCTTGGGTCCACCCAGCCATAAGTGGGTACCGGATGCAGTTCCGGGAAGTAAAGGCGGCCGGCGTGATGCTGACCACATCACTCATCTTGCGCCACTTGGTCTATAAAAATATAGGTCTAGCCCTATACGCCTAAAGGCCTGGAAAAGGGAACTTTACTTACTAGCTTGTAATAATGTCACACTGCATTGCTGTGGTGTCTTTTCTGAGGGCAGATTGGTCCATAAATATTTGAGTTTGACATCTCTTAACCAATACGTCGAATGAGTTTTTTTTTTTAAAGGAAGGAGGGCGGGGGAGGGGGGGGGGGGTGTCCTTTTGCTCTAGTGTACATTTTCAGAAACGGCTATGCCCGACATGTAAACATACACACAGGTAAACGTACAAACCTTTTCTCGCCCCCACCTGCGCTGTGGAGATATATAGCCTGACCGTCATTTCATTGTAAAAGTTTTTTTTCGCCAGGGACACAAATGAGTATCATTTATTTTATACATTAGAGTCCTATGTAGTCACTTCATAGTTAGAGCATATTTGTGTATGTGTGCTGTGTTGTCCCTTATGTGCTGATGAAGGCTAATCGCCGCAACGTCCTTTGTTTGTTTATTGTGATCGATTTTGTAAAGCTAACATAAACTATTTGTTGTTTCTCACTAACGTTTTCTCTTCCCTATAATTTTCTACTGCTTTTAAAAACACAGTTGTGCTCACATACTCTGCTACAAAAGCAAGGGTGATCATTCAACCAGAAAGGGAAGACAACCGATATGTCACTAATAGAGGTTACCCACACCTGGAAACTGATCTTGGGCGCATACGAGTTTCTGTTAGCAAATTGTCAGACCAAACCTGAGATGAATATACAAATTATTTTCTACACCCGCGAACAGCCACAGGCGCCAGAATCTGGTTGCTCAGGGTTCTCTAACAACAGACACTAAAAAAACATAGACGTTTACTTTTGCTAACCTGACAAATGCCCGCCATTCACATCCCACGCCGTAACATTTATCAAGTTGCTTTTGCATAATCTCGTGACATCATCTTAAAACATGATCGTGTGTTCTGGAACAATTAGATGAAACAAATATGCTTTTCTTCAAGGCGAAGAGGTCCTGGAATGATAAACGTGATATTTTCCCCAGTAGAAATGCCTTGTTTTCTTTTTAACTTGTGTGTGTTCAGGCATCTTAATTACATACCATTTAAGTAACAAATGAAAATTCCTAGAAAAGCCATTTTATTTGTTGCGTCTCTTCTTTTTTGTCTTGGTTTTAGTTCTTTTTCCTTTTCAAGTTCTAGTTTTCTCTTTCAAGCTGTAATTTTAGTTCTTTTTTAAAAATTTATGTACTTCTAGTTCTACATTTTTTTTTCTGTAGTTCTATTTCTTCTTCTTCTTCTTCTTTTTCTTCTTTCCTTCCTTCTTCCTCCTTCCTTTTTGTTGTTGTAGTTCTATTCCTTCTTCTTCTTCTTCTTCTTCTTCTTCTTCTTCTTCTTCTTCTTCTTCTTCTTCTTCTTCTTCTTCTTTTTCTTCTTCTTCTTCATTCCTTTCTTAATTCATTCCTTTCTTCTTCCCCTCCTCCTTCTCCTCGACATATTCTATTTTCCTCTATTCACCTCCGTGTTCTCTTCCTCCTTCCCCTCTTCTTGTTTTCCACCTGCACATTCTTCAGTCAACCAAATACCTCATGCTTGCAACACAGATAAGACCCAGCAGAACCCGGACGAGCCACAACACCTGTAGAACCCGGACGAGCCACAACACCTGTAGATCGCCACTTCCCTGTCAGGTCGTCACCTTGTCAATCCTCACCCCCGCATTGACGGAGACGCAGACACCGACTTCAAGGCGCCCACGTATCTTTCACTGCAATGGAAATCAGGGACAACATTCAGCAACACTGGTCTTATACTTGGAGCATCCTCGTGTTGGGTTCCGAAACGCCTGTTCTGGAAATACAGAATTAGACGCACTGACTCCCCAACGAGCATGTCGTAAAAGTCGACTAACTGGGGACTTCCTTCACAGTCGGATTGCATCTCCTCGAGAGGTCAGGAATTAACAATCTACAAACAAATAAGCCAGGCGTGCACGCAACACTCAGGTTCTGGAACACGACTAAAGTCTAGAGGTGGGCGAACACCCAGAACTTTCCGCTGGAGTTACAGCCAGTGAATTAGAAGAAGAAGAAGAAGAAGAAGAAGAAGAAGAAGAAGAAGAAGAAGAAGAAGAAGAAGAAGAAGAAGAAGAAGAAGAAAAAGAAGAAGAAGAAGAAAAAGAAGAAGAAGAAGACCTAGCAGTAGTAGTAGCAGTGGCAGCGGCAGTAGCAGCATCAACAACAGCAACAGCAGCAGCAGCAGCAGCAGCAGCAGCAGCAGTAGTAGTAGTAGTAGTAGTAGTAGTAGTAGTAGTAGTAGTAGTAGTAGTAGTAGTAGTAGTAGTAGTAGTAGTAGTAGTAGTAGTAGTAGTAGTAGTAGTAGTAAAAAAAAAGAAGTATTATTAGAAAAAAAAAATCAAGAAAACGAAAATGGAAAAGAAGAAAAAAAGAAGAAGAAGAAGAAGAAGAAGAAAAAGAAGAAGAAGAAGAAGAAGAAGAAGAAGAAGAAGAAGAAGAAGAAGAAGAAGAAGAAGAAGAAGGAAAGAAGAAAAAAGAAAAAGAAGGACATCAAAAACAATAACAACAACAATAACAACAACAACAGAGAGAGAGAGAGAGAGAGAGAGAGAGAGAGAGAGAGAGAGAGAGAGAGAGAGAGAGAGAGAGAAAAGAAAATGAGATACAGTTGTTGATTTAGATATACTTTACTTTCTGGATGTGTCCGCAGAATGGCGTGGTTTGAGTCTTTCCGCAATGAGTACGGGTTCGCAGCCTACCAGGACAACCGGACCTCGGTCAGCTTCGACATCCCTCTGCTGATTGTCACCTACCTGTGTGTTCTCGTGTCCATAGCAACGCTCATTGCTACCCTTGGCATCAGAGGTCGGGAAGTGAGTGACTTTTGCTTCCTCTTTCATTATTATCATTACCAACATAAGCATTTGTTTATATATCGTCATCATTAACATCATTAACTTGAGCATTTTATTTCTTTATTATCATTATCATTTAATGATAAAAAAAAATAAGAATAGAACAACTGCCTACCCAAAAGCATATCGTGAGAGTCGACTAATTGGTCGGAGTGCATCTGCCTGAAAGGCAAGGAACCAGCAGTCTGCATTTAAGTGAATCAGATCTGTAAAACTGATGCACACGCAATACTGAGGTTCTGGAGCAGGACTGCAGTCCAGAAGTGGACAAACAACCAGAATTTTCCGTCAGAGTTTACAGCTGAAGAAGAAGAAGAGGAAGAAGAAGAAGAAGAAGAAGAAGAAGAAGAAGAAGAAGAAGAAGGAGAAGAAGAAGAAGAAGAAGAATAAGAAGAAAGAAGAAGAAGAAGAGAAGAAGAAGAAGAAGAAGAGAAGAAGAGAAGAAGAAGAAGAAGAAGAAGAAGAAGAAGAAGAAGAAGAAGAGAAGAAGAAGAAGAAGAAGAAGAAGAAGAAGAAGAAGAAGAAAGAAGAAGAAGAAGAAGAAGAAGAAGAAGAAGAAGAAGAAGAAGAAGAAGAAGAAGAAGAAGAAGAAGAAGAAGAAGAAGAAGAAGAAGAAGAAGAAGAAGAAGAAGAAGAAGAAAGAAGAAGAAGAAGAAGAAGAAGAAGAAGAAGAAAGAAGAAGAGAAGAAGAGGGAGAAGAAAAGAAGAAGAAGAAGAAGAAGAAGAAGAAGAAGAAGAAGAAGAAGAAGAAGAAGAAGAAGAAGAAGAAGAAGAAGAAGAAGAAGAAAGAAGAAGAAGAAGAAGAAGAAGAAGAAAGAAGAAGAAGAAGAAGAAGAAGAAGAAGAAGAAGAAGAAGAAGAAGAAGACCTTAATAAGAAGAACTAAGAAGAAGAAGAAGAAGAAGAAGAAGAAGAATAAAGAAGACTAAGAAGAAGAAGAAGAAGAAGAAGAAGACTCCTAAGAGAAGAAGAAGAAGAAGAAGAAGAAGAAGAAGAAGAAGAAGAAGAAGAAGAAGAAGAAGAGAATAAGAAGAAGAAGAAGAAGAATCAATCAGAAGACGAAGAAGAAGAAGAAGAAGACTCCTCCTAAGAAGAAGAAGAGAAGAATCCTAAGAAGAAGAAGAAGTCCTCCTCCTCCTCCTCCTCCGCCTCCTCCTCGAAGAAGAAGAAGAAGAAGAAGAAGAAGAAGAAAGAAGAAGAAGAAGAAGAAGAAGAAGAAGAAAGAAGAAGAAGAAAGAAGAAGAAGAAGTCTCCTCTCCTCTCCTCCTCAAAAGAAGAAGAAGAAGAAGAAGAAGAAGAAGAAGAAGAAGAAGAAGAAGTTAGCATTAATTTTGTCAACATCATTATAAAATGACAGAACTGTCCGTTTTAACACTTTATAGGGCGGTGTAGACAGGGATGGGGATGTGGGTCGTGATTTTGGGGATTTAGGGCCGCGTGGCTAGTGCTGTAGCCGCGGACTGTGCAGGTTAGGATGTTTAATTCTGCACCGGACAGAAAAACTCCCATCACATTATTGGAGGTCAAACCCGGCTTCCGCGTCAGAGCCCTACGTTGTAACCGCTCGGCCAGCCGCTTCTTTTAACATTATTACAATAACTGTCAATGGAGGTCTTAAATAGCCCTCACTAAAGACTGGTCGGCCCATAACTTCTCCATCCTGTATGTCCTTCACTTGTCGGTCCCAATCTAAGGTAGAACCAGCTAGTCTATCAGTGCTTTCATTGCCAAAAACAGCCGCATATCCTAGACTGTTCTGTTGTACTGTCCATTTGATCCTGGAGAACTTTCACCACGTCCGTTTATCATAAAGTAGCTCATTGTACATAAGAGCGGCAGCAGCCAATCTCTTACCTTCTCGTTGCCTCGCACACCCTAGTTTCCTGGACAGAGAATTCATGGTATGCTCTCGAAGTTGAAAAGGGTATCACGGATCTGCCTTGTTGGTTTGTGGTCTGTATAGACTTTTAAATCGCAGGATGGTAAACATCTAGAAAGCAGTCCAGAGGGAGCATCCCGAGAGATCCATAGTTTCGGTTATGCGGTTTTTTTTTTTTTTGAGCTGCTGCAGTTGTTATTTTTGAGCTGGACCTTTTCCGTGACACGTTCCATGGATTTATTAGTTTTAAATCTGAGTTCGAGGTCATTTAGAAATATTGTGTTTCCGGTTTTTCCGGCGGTTGCGTCAAGTTCGCCAAATCTACTGTTGCATAAAATTGCCAGTGACTTCCTGATTACCTGGTGGTTTTTGTTGATTGATTCCTGTCTTGTTCTGGGTTGAACCGGGAATGTGTGTCAGCGGTGTTAGGTCGGTCAGGTTTGATGGATGGCGTGTTGGAAAGGCTGAGTGTGATGATGGTGGGGTGGCGTTTAAAGGGGTTGGAGTGAGACGGTTGAGAGGGGGAGAACTCGAACGAGAAAGCGCGCGCGAGAGAGAGAGAGAGAGAGAGGGAGAGAGTGTGTATGAGAGAGAGAGAGAGAGAGAGAGAGAGAGAGAGAGTTTTTCAAGCTGACAGACACGTATAAGGTAGACAAGTACGCATATCTAAATTTATACCTACGTAAATAACCACTTGTGTGCATGCATGCATAATACATACATACATACATACATACATACATACATACATACACACACACATATATATATTCATACATGCGTGCAGACAGACGGACAGAGGTACAGAGAGATCGACCGATTGACAGACAGACAGACAGACAGAGGGGTACGTGTGTACCATTCTGCCTAGTTGTTAGTGTATACTGACATGTCTTTCTTTCTTTATTTCTTTTTTTTTTTTTTGGCGAAATCTTTCATTTTATTATTCCTATCTCTCCATTTATCTGTTTGTTTTTCCTTCCTACATTCTTGCTAAATCTTCACCAACACTCCCATACAATTACACGCACGCACACACTCACCCACACACTTACACACACACACACCATACACACGCACACACACACACACCCACGTGTAAGTAAACTACACATAGACAAATATAATCAAGAAAAGCTAGCAGTCTATGGGAGAATCCCTTTAATCGTTGTGTTTTCTTTGATCTGCCTCCACAGCGCTGGTCGACCACTATCCGTGCTATGTACGCAGTCGGCATTGGGTCTGTCATTCTAGGTACTTGCAACTGTGGAAGTTTTGTGTTTTTTGTTGTGTTTCGTTTTGTTTAATTAGACAGCAGTTAACACTCGACATAGGAATAAACAAGAGGACAACCACGGTGCAAATGGATTCCAATATCATCATCAACATCATCATCATCTTTATCACAATGATCACCATTACGCAGCCAAGTGGTTCTTAACCTTTCTAATGCCTCGATTCTTTAATGCAGTTCCTCATGTTGTGGCGACCCCCCAACCATACAAATAATTTCATCGCTACTTCATAACTTCAATGACTATGTGTTTTGAGGTGGTCTTTGGCGACCCCTCTGAAAGGCTCGTTCGACCCATACAACCCATAAGTTGAGAACCGCTAATGTAGCCGGTCCATTTCAGAACATCGCTGAAAGAAACCCTGTCTCTGGCCAGCGATCCCGCCTTCAGCACTTCCATTTGCACCAAGGAGTTACTGATTCACTGTTCCCAGCTTTGAGTTAGTCAACCTCTGCCCCTCCTTCCTGGTATCTTGTCTTCTGCTTTAATTTTTCCAATATGCCATGTCGCTTGATTTGACCAGTATATTCCAGGCTTTGAGACAAGATGCTGTTTATTAGCCAACCTTCCTTCATGCTCGGATTCTATTATCCTCAGGTCACGATGTGGCCTTGACCCGCCAATCTAAATTGATTCTATTTGTGATAAATAGTACCCAGTTACGCGGCAGGAAAAACACACTGTTAATAGTCTAGGGGTGGTTCAGGGATGACAGAATGAGCCGGGCTTAGTCTGGTTTAAGTGGATAATAATAATAAAAATGTTAATAACAATGTGCTGAATGGAATAGCTAAAAATATTTTTAAACAATATGAAATGCGTAACAAATACTTAAGAAGATAAATTCATTAGCGGAGTTAACAGTCAAGGGCGGCTCACGGATGCCTCAGTCTGGTTTAAGTGCGTAATAATATTAGTAATGTGATTAATGGAATGACAAATAGTATGTGTAAACCGATGAGCAATTCCTAAATTGTTCTCCAGACAACCTCCCTGAAACTATTCTTATTTATCAGACTGTATGTTAACTTATAGCTGTCGTGGCGTAGCGGCTAGTCACCGACCTGCTTATTGTATGCTCGTGGGTACAGCAACTGATGGAACCGGATAAAAAAAAAAATATGACTTCGGCTTCCAGGTCGACCAGAATTTAAACAGGTCCAAGATAAAAGTCATGGGAGGTAAACGCGACCATCGTCATGCTGACCCATCACCCTTCCAATGCCGACTGATTTATAAAAATGCGTCTAGCCCTATATGCCCAGTAGCTTGGAGGCTTGGAAGAAAGGTCTTTACTTTACCTATTTTTTTTTTAAATATCAAATGTAAAGTTGTTTGAAGTCTGTGTTCTCTATCTTCTGTTGGCAGCATGTCTAGTTGGCTATGGTTGGCAGGAAGGTCGAGTGAGGATTAAGTGCCCTTACATCTACAGAAACAACCTGCCCTTTGAGGGATTTGTTGGGATCAAAGTGGGTTTGAACTACGTCAATGTCACATTGGAAGGTAGGTCTACCTGTCCGCCTACCTGTGTAATTGCGTACTTAACTATACCCATCAACACTATAAATCGATGTCCTACCCACCGATCGAACTACCAACTTGGCTATACGTCTATTTACGCACTTAACACATATCTACCCACCTTACCTACCTACCAAACTACCTACCTACCCAACTAACTATCTATCCACCTACCTACCTACCTAACTACCTATCCACCCAACTACCTACCTACCTACCTACCCACCCAACTACCTACCTACCCGCCTACCTACCCAACTACCTGCCTACCAAATGCGGACCTGAAGGTCGCGGGTTTATCCCCCACCGAGCTGTCATTTTTTTCTTCGATTCCAAAAAAAGACATCGCCTCCCATGTCGACTTAGCCTTAAATGGGTACGAGGTAAAGCCCTGGGAAGTAAAGGCGGCCAGTGTGATGCTGATAGAGGTAGAACCACCGGCTCTATAAAACGTAGGTCTAACCCTATATGCCCAATACGCCTGAAGGGCAGGAAAAGATTCCTTTTTTTTAATTTCTACTGTCTGTATATTGTCTGTGTAATGAATATACCCACTAGGTACACACATGATTATTTATCAACATAATATCCATTTATCTACATACTTACCTATCTATTTGCGTGTCTACACACATATATATCTGCCTAACTACCTATCAGAGCAGATTCCAGAGTTGTGAACCGAGACTTAGATGTTTTCGAACAAGTTTATTATTACCACCTATAAACTGACGTATGAAATAAAACAAACACGAGCGTCTAGCCGCTACCCGTGCATTCATCCACCTATCCTTATTCACTCAGCCGCTCATCCTGCAGCCCATCTACTCGTCCTTCGGTCTTTGCATTTATGAGTTCATCTATATATCCTTCCCTTCGACCATTGGTTCATCAAGAAATCCACCGGCGTCCGTACGGGGAGTCGTTTCAAGTCTGCTCGAGTTAGAATCGGAAGAAAAACATTCAAGCCACTCCACCTGAGCCGATTCTGTTTGTTTGTTGGCACTTTCCGTCTTTCCAGATGATGTTGTTATATTATACTTTGAGAAGGCATAGCAATGAAGATCCTCCTCTCCAAAGCACGAAGCCTGGGAAGTACTGTAGAGATCACGTGTTGCCCGTGGATCATGATCACCGTTTGGGCTTGACCTTGTTTATTCCAAAGGAATGATAACACCAATACGTTTGGAGCAAAGCCCGCTGCAGAAGCTACTAGATCAGAAGGTCTGTGCTGTGTCCGTCCCGCAGGCGGAGATTCCCTCCCAGACCATCGGCCAGCTACGGCCAAGGGCCTATCTGCTCTGTAATAGCATATCGTTTTTCAGACTGCATTTCCTCTTTCTAGAAAAAGACTAGTATCCTGCCTTGGAAGCTCCTCTACCCGAAGCTGTTAGTACAATATGGGATGTTAGACGTGGTGTTCGCCACTCAACTTTCAACGTTAAAACAGGCATAATAGCAAATATCTCGAAAACTACTGAGATGATCAACACGAATTTTTGCATGTGGCCTTAGATTGCCCGAGATATTATGATTTTGTAATCTCCAATTGCACAGCTGCTGCTTTTTTTTCGTTAATCGTGAAATTTCTTTGATCTTTGTTTCACTAATAGTTTGTCTAACCTAATGAACCTAGATTATCTACCTGTTTAACCTCATGAATCTAAATTATCTACCTGTTTAACCCGAGGTGTGTGTCTGAACCCCACAGGTAACTACAGGACCGCTGCAGGACCAGGATACGTTTACTTCGCCGAGAGCATGCCTTATAGCGACTGTGAGTGACGTCATCTGTTGACGCCTGTTTGTGTGTTTGTTTTATATCTCTCCAGATTTGAAAGGAATGTGTTGACAATAATTAACTACACGCTCCCTCTATTACAGTGGTTCCCAACCTTACTAAAGCCGCGACCCTTTAATACATGTCCTCACACTGTGGTGATCCCCAGCCATTAAAAAAAAAATTGTGTTGCTACTTCATAAATTCAGTGAATATGTGTTTTTCGATGGTCCTAGGCGACCCCTGTGAAATGATCGTTTGACACACATAGGTGTTGCGACCCACAGGCTGAGAACCGCTGCTCTATGGGATCTGGAACCTTTTGTTGTAAAGTAGGTGTACGAGTAAGGACCCCTTTCTGCTCCTTCAGGCGTATTGGGCATATAGGGCTAGACCTTTTTTCCTAGAGGTTTTGAGGAACCATTTGAGGCTGGATCGACCTGAGAGCACAGCTATTTTTGAAAAAAAAAAAAAAAAGAAAGTAGTCCATGAACGTCAGGATCTGCACCTGCGACCTTCGGGTCTGCAGGCGAGAGTGTAGTCGCTACACCACGGTGGCTCCCGGGGTCCGTTTTCGGTACGGATGCATGTCCTTAAAGACTTCTCTATCCAGTACCTCAGCACCTTATGTGGGAGGTAAAGGTGGCTGGCGTAATGCTGCCCCCTCACCCGCCTATTTCCAGTACCTTAGCCCCGAGCATACCCATAGATGCTCAGTCTCGCAAGGCAAATGTCTTAAGCTGTAGATGATAACTGTTCCCGTAGCACACTGATGATAACTCGTAGTTCTCAAACTCGACTACCTCCCCCCTTGCCTGATCCACACCTAATTAGCTGTTCACGCATTCTTAAAAGTAAAGTTAATTAAAGATCCCTTTTTACGCCTTAGGCGCATTGAGCATATGGAAAGAGCATCCCATATTTTTACAGACCAATCGACACTAGGTTGGTAATGTGGTCAGCATTGGGCCGGCCGTCTTTACTTCCCCAGGACAGCCATCCTGATACCCATTTTAGGCTGAGTCGCCCTGCGACGCCCCGTACTATGTTAAAAATCCACGCAGCCAGCAGTGGGTTTCGATCGCGGTACGTTGGAATTACGAGTCAGACTCGCAACGGCTGAGCCACCGACGCCGCGTCACATATTCTTACGCATGTTATTTCATCCAGCCTTTTGTCTCTATCAGCATTCCATCATAAACGGTCTTCAGCGTGTCTCCCCTGTACAGTACGAGTGTTCCTCAAGCTATCACTTTTGTAGCCAGAACATCTGCTCTTTAATTTCCTCACACTCCTTCATATCCCGACTCTATCGTATACTATTACAATCGAATGTAAGTCAGTGTTAAATGTTATTGCCCTGTTATTTTTCAGTCGGCCACGAACCAGAAGGGTATCATTATTTTCTGATCAAGGGTCTCCCTGAACCCATCCTGAAGGTAATGGGGTTTCTCACCGTGGATGAGGGTGATCTCAGATGGGGTCGATCCCTGCACGCCTCTGGATATTATACTATGGCTCTTCTGTGGTGAGTGTTGATTGTATGATACTGTTTCGTATTTTCAAAGTACCTATTGTATGATACTGTTTCGTATTTTCAAAGTACTTATTGTATGATACTGTTTCGTATTTTCAAAGTACTTATTGTATGATACTGTTTCGTATTTTCAAAGTACTTATTGTATGCAAATTTTGAGTGAATCAAATTTGTTAATGTTTCGCAGGGTTAATGGTATAAAAATGTTTTAAAAAGTATTGTTTGTATGAAAATGTTTAGTGTATAAAATTGTTTTGTGTATCAAAATGCGCATTGTAATTGATTTTTTAAGGTATCACAGTGTTGAGTGTATCAATGTGTTGAGTGTATCAATGTGTTGAGTGTATCAATGTGTTGAGTGTATCAATGTGTTGAGTGTATCAATGTGTTGAGTGTATCAATGTGTTGAGTGTATCAATGTGTTCAGCGTATCAATGTGTTCAGTGTATCAATGTGTTCAATGTATCGATGTGTTCAGTGTATCAATGAGTTCAGTGTATCATTGTGTTAAGTGTATCAATGTGTTCAGTGTATCGATGTGTTCATTTTATCTATGTGTTCAGTGTATCAATGTGTTCAATGTATCAATGTGTTAAGTGTATCATTGTGTTCAATGTATCAATGGGCTCAGTGCATCAATGCGTTTAATGTATCAATGTGTTCAGTGCATCAATGTGTTCAATGTATCAGTGTGTTCAGTGTATCAATGTGTTCAGTGTATCCATGTGTTCAGTGTGTCAATGTGTTCAGTGTATCAATGTGTTTAGCGCATCAAATTATTTAGTGTCTGAATGTGTATAGTTAATGGAAAGTCTTTAGACTTGCCCACATTTTTAGTAAATTAATCAAAGCTGTATCTGTTTGTGTGTGTATGTATGTATGTATGTATGTATTAGTGTGTGTGTGTGTACATATGCAAAGACGGACACTTAAGGCATCTCTTAGTAGGTGGATGAAATGATAGGCAAAAAGATGAATATATATATAGTCAGACAGACAATTAGATGGACAGACAGGAATACAGACAGACAGATAGACATACAGACAGGCATACAGAGACATAGAGAGAAAGACAGACAGACCGATATTTACACACACACACACACACACACACACACACATATATATATATATATATATATATATATAGACACACACACACACACACACATATATATATATATATATATATATATATATATATATATATATATATATATATATATATAGTCAGACAGGCAGGCAGTTAGATGGACAGACAGACAAACAGACAGACAGAAGTAGGTGGATGAATCAGTATGCATAGTAGTTACAAGAGGAACAATCGTGTCAAACCAGATGAATGGATTCCTGGATTGACCGATTGCTGTATAAGATTGTTTAACAAACCTGTTTTTCCAATGACGCCAGGACGTCTTTCGCCTTCTGGATCATCGCCAACGTCCTGTTGTGCAGCGTCATCGTCTACGGGGCCTACATGTTCACCCTCACGGGCCTGACCATGCTGATTGGCTGTATCACCTACCACGTGTGCCAGTGCCGTCTGCCAATGGGGATCAACTTTGGGGAGGCCACTCTGACCATAACCTACTCATGGTGCTACTGGCTGACCCTTGCTTCAGGTGGGTTTCTGTTTAACTTTTTAGGGATCATTATATTCAATGAAACAAAATCCTTACTTGCACACTTTATGCCGACTGTCCTAGCCAAAGAGCCCTAAAACCTTAAGCTGAAGGAACGACACCATCGGCCTACAGGGCCCTAAGTAATGGTCCTTTTATAAACTTTTATTAAGTTTGCTTTTGTTTGCTTGTCTGTCTTAATGTTTTGTCTTTCATATATTTGTTGACAGTTGAAATCAATCAGACTTAAGCTACTGCCCGTACTATCTAAGAGTTTGTTGTTAAGGCAGCTTGTCTTGTTTACTCCGAAGAAAAGGTAACACAGACGCTTTGGCATAGAAGTAGCTAGGTTTTTTTTGCATCATAAAACTGTGTGGTCCATTTTAAAACTGTGAGGTCCATTTTAAAACTGACCGTTATGTGTTTTTTTTTCAGGTTGTCTGACATTAGTCCTCGGACTGTTGCTCATCCTAGCTGACCATTTCGCTCACGAGGGTGTAGCGGAGTTCTTTCACCTGGAGAAACTGATAGACGAGGACGCCTTTGAGGTATGTCACATCCCCCCACCCTATCCACATCAGAACAAAAGGTACCCAAACTGTAAGTAAAGTAAAGGACCCTTTTCCACGCCTTTAGGAGCATTGAGCATGTAGATTTAGACCTATATGTTATAGACCGATCAGCACTTGGTGGGTGATGTTGTCAGCATCACTTTGGTCACCTTTACTTCCTAAGACTTTACCCAGTTGAGGCTAGGACGACTTCCATCAGAACCTGGCCCCATGAACTTCTGATCCTGTAGCCGCTACATCTCGGCGGCTCCACAACCCAGGTGTCCACCAATAAAATAAAGCGTGATACTGGTTACAGAAGAGCCTTATAGCGTCACCCAGCTAAAGGTCACTCCATTACCGTAGGATGTCCTAATAAACTATGCTACTGAGAAGGTTGACCCAGGCAACAAAGGACTACTTGTCGGGTGTGTCGGCCGAAGGGCTCAAATATCGCAGCCACGTTGCAAAGGGACACAGCACATTGACGTTTTCAGGGACACACAGAAGAAAAGAGGATATAACTCTGTTACAATGTTCAACCGACATCCTACATGATCTGAACATCGAGGAGAACTGCCTCATAAACAGCATCCTGCCCCGAAAGCTTTCGTATTTTGGACATGTTAAACGCGACAGAGGCAGATCTACGAAACTGGAAAGAAGACATAAAGTATTTCTGAAAGCACACAGGGCTAGAGAATTTGCTGGAGAAAGAGAGACTTTCAGGCGTGCTGTGATGAAAGCGACGTTCTGTAAAAGACCTGCTAATCGATGATGATGATGATGTTGTAGGATCTGCTCCTGTTGGAGTCTCACTGAGATGGTAATACTATGCAATACAATCTTTGAGGGGAAAAAAAGGGAAGTTTAAAGGTACCTCTCTTCTTCTTCTTCTTCTTCTTCAGCATTCGGAGCCCTTGAGGTTCACTGCTGCAGATATCAGCCGCCTCCACTCATCTCTATGGCTGGTCTTCTCTTTCACGTTGGTGACACCAAGTGTTTGTAGGTCTGTCTGGACATTATCTGTCCATATTCTTCTTGGTCTGCAACCATTTACCTCCCTTGTGTATACAATTTCCTCTGAAAACGGTAAATTAAGTGTCATCAAATTCAGTAATACCTTTTCCTAGTGTGTTAATGGTTGAGATGTTTGCCCTTTGGTACAGAAGTCTGAGTCATATCCCCAGTGTATGCAGCATAGACTAACTTACCTTTCCCATCCACACAAGGACGTTGTAAAAGTCGACCAAATGGTTTTTAGATGTCAAGGTGCACGGTTCTCTATGAATTATGTGGTGCCACGGATCCACACGGCATGGCTTCCACTGATACACACGGCATGGCTTCCACTGATTTACACGGCATGGCATCCACTGATCCACACGGCATGGCTTCCACTGATCCACACGGCATGGCTTCCACTGATCCACACGGCATGGCTTCCACTGATCCACACGGCATGGCTTCCACTGATACACACGGCATGGCTTCCACTGATTTACACGGCATGGCTTCCACTGATCCACACGGCATGGCTTCCACTGATCCACACGGCATGGCTTCCTCTGATCCACACGGCATGGCTTCCACTGATCCACACGGCATGGCTTCCACTGATCCACACGGCATGGCTTCCTCTGATCCACACGGCATGGCTTCCACTGATCCACATGGCATGGCTTCCACTGATACACACGGCATGGCTTCCACTGATTTACACGGCATGGCTTCCACTGATCCACACGGCATGGCTTCCACTGATCCACACGGCATGGCTTCCACTGATACACACGGCATGGCTTCCACTGATTTACACGGCTGGGTTTCTACTGGAAAACCCACCGGCCAGATCAGGGATCTCTCTTCTGCATGTAGCGAGAACGTTTGTAGCACAGGTTCAGAGTTCTGTGATGTCTGTCCACGGGCACATAGTTCTGTGATGTCTGTCCACGGGCACATAGTTCTGTGATGTCTGTCCACGGGCACATAGTTCTGTGATGTCTGTCCACGGACACATAGTTCTGTGATGTCTGTCCACGGGCACATAGTTCTGTGATGTCTGTCCACGGAGTTCTGTGATGTCTGTGCACGGGCACATAGTTCTGTGATGTCTGTCCACGGGCACATAGTTCTGTGATGTCTGTCCACGGAGTTCTGTGATGTCTGTCCACGGGCACAGAGTTCTGTGATGTCTGTCCACGGACACATAGTTCTGTGATGTCTGTTCACGGGCACATAGTTCTGTTATGTCTGTCCACGGAGTTCTGATTTCCCAAACCTACATTTCTTGCACGTACGGCTGCAGTGTCTGTTGTGTCCAGTACAGTCTAAATATAATGGTCTGTTTCGTTCAAGGAGGCTGACTGACTCTTTTTGTGTGTTGGATAAGATTTGTTCCAATGCGTTCTACAAAAATAGAGAAAGAAAGAAGGGAAGAAAGAAATAAATAAATAAAGAAAGAAACGAAGAAAAAAAAAAAAAAAGAAAGAAAGCGGAGAAAGAAGAGAAAGATGACAACTTAATTTTCTAAAGCAGATGTTTCTAAACGGTGTGTGGCGACACATAAGTGTGTCGTCTATGAGTGTGTCGTCTGAAGTGCGGAGAAGTGTCGCACCAATATGGCTCCATATCTGTTGTTATAAGCGGTTTGTTTGACCTTTAGTTTGGAAATTGCACGGAATCTCGCCATCGATGTATCGCAGATCAAGCAAACTGTAGCGGAAGTAGATACGATGTTTATAAACATAAGCCAAGTGAAAAACTATAAAAAGAAATCGTGAAAGCCACCAAGGTAAAATCGAGGAGGAGGACAACAGAAGAATTGGGAAGCTTTCAAGTTCATCAAAAAATTGAAGAAATTAAATTAAAAAAAAAAAAAAAACGCAGCAACGAAGATGAAGAAAAGACAGCAAAGCAGAAGAAGAAGTAGACAGAGAAGAGAAAGAATGCAAAAATCAGTAAAAAAGAAGTTTAAAAAAATGCACAACAGACACCACACCTACTTCGATCAAACCCGATACAGTACAAACCTTGTTCGACACCCATTGCAGATAGCCCTACTCAGGATCGGAGGGCAAGCGCCCACTGAAACCAACCATACCTTCAGCCACCCTGAGCCCAACAGACATGGTGGCGTGTAGGGAAAGAAGAGACTAAACAGCGTTGCCCTGAGCTACAAAGGAAAATCGAACTGAGAACATCAGTAAAACCAGCACTCAAATTAAACCAAGCCTCCATGGCCTGTTGAATTAGAGGTTCTTTATTAATATCTTACCCCAAACAGGGGAAATCCACAGGTCACAGGACAGTCTACTATTTCAGGGAGTGGTAGATTGGCTGCATGCAGTTGTGAACCTAAGCTGCACTTTCTCGTGGGACCTACGCTGCACTTTCTCGTGGGACGTAGGTTGGTTAGGGTTAGGGCCAGCTCTTGATGTTTTAGGTTCGTTAAAAGCATCAGAAAACTGGGTAAAGTCTTGCAAAGTAAAGGTGACCAAATTGATGCTGACAACATCACCCACCATATTGCTGATCGGTCTATAAAAACTAGGTCTAGACCTTACCACCCTCTAAAATGTTGCACTGTCTTGTGACGTCATCTGGGGGGTAGGATATTAAAGAAGCACCTAATTCAATTCCGGCAATTAATTTGCTAGTAGACTGAATTACCGTGTCGTGAAATTATGTTTGTCTAAAAAGTGTGCCAACTTAAGGAAGTTTAGAAAGCTTTTGTTCTAGTGTAGTGCCCAATACAACTCCCCAAACCTAGTGTAATTTTCTGTTACTTTCTTTTACTCTCTCTAGAACGACATTCGTCCAGAACGCACAAAAATGAACCTGATGAACGGCCATGGTGTCTGTGAAGGGCCACGTCGAGGCAGCATCTTCCTAGACCCATGCAGACAACCAGCAGACAACAGCACCCGCTTCCTGCCTGGTACCAACCATGTGTTTGTTACTTCGGCCAGTGACATGTCTGGTCGCTTCATGAAGACCAACCCCATATTCTGTGGAGACGATGAGGTCAGTACCTTTAATTGTCTCTGCTTGTGTAAGGTTCATAGGCACCGGCACACGGGGGACCAGGGGATCAGGTTTCTTGCTCTCCACTCCACCCTTCCTCCTTGTTTAAAAAAAAAAGTTGGGACAAGGGGAGGGGCGGGGGTGGCGGGGGCAGGCAACCCAATAATTGTGTATGGGAAACTAACGTTGTATAAACGTTGTATAGACATTTCCTTTAAGAATATTTGTTTATATACTTTATATTATTTCAAGCATGCTAGTATTATGATTTCCCATTCATAATAATAATAATAATAATAATAATAATAATAATAATAATAATAATAATAGTAATAATAATAATAAATATTATAATAATAGTAATAATAATAATAATAATAATAATAATAATAATAATAATGACAACAATAACAATAGTAGTAATAATAATAATTGTGTGCTAAGCGTGGAGTAAATATAATACTATCACTGAAATATTAGGAAATATAAACACATATTCTGTGACAATTCTGTGACAATTCTATTCTATATATGGTTTGGCGGAGCATATTATTTCTCATTATGGAAGGTTTGGAGTATGTGGCGTGGGCGTTGCGAACACGCTTCGTTAGAACCAGGCCGCCTTGCGTTAGTGTCAACAATGACATTGAGAGTCAAACGTTTAGAAGAAACAGCAAACTACTGAACGTAAAATGTGCTTAGAAAAAAAAACACCAGCAACGAACTGGGTCTATTCGTTTCTCGTCCATTTCTAAACTGAGCCCAAATGGGGCTTTGAACTCTCAAGGTGAAGAGGAATAATCGACCTGGTCGAGTGTAGATGTTGCTCATGGACTTTGTCGAGTGTAGATGTTGCTCATGGACTTTGTCGAGTGTAGATATTACTAAGAGACTTTGTCGAGTGCAGATGCTACTAAGAGACTTTGTTGAGTGCAGATGCTACTAAGAGACATTGTCGAGTGCAGATGCTACTGTAGACCAAGAACAAGATGGAAGGATAACATCAGAGATACTCTACAACAGTACGATGTGCCTATGGTCGAGGCGGCCAGAAGAGCTAGAAACAGAACCTTATATCTCCCTCGACACCCACAGCGGTAAAAGAGGAAGTGAAGAAGAAGCAGATGCTACTAAGAGACTGTCGAGTGCAGATGCTACTAATAGACTTTGTCGAGTGCAGATGCTACTAATAGACTTTGTTGAGTGCAGATGCTACTAATAGACTTTGTTGAGTGCAGATGCTACTAAGAGTCTTTGTTGAGTGCAGATGCTACTAATAGACTTTGTTGAGTGCAGATGCTACTAATAGACTTTGTTGAGTGCAGATGCTACCAATAGACTTTGTTGAGTGCAGATGCTACTAAGAGACTTTGTCGAGTGCAGATGCTACTAAGAGACTTTGCTGAGTGCAGATGCTATTAAGAGACTTTGTTGAGTGCAGATGCTACTAAGAGACTTTGTCGAGTGCAGATGCTACTAAGAGACTTTGTTGAGTGCAGATGCTACTAAGAGACTTTGTCGACTGCAGATGATTATAAATATGTCTTGTGGGTATTATTATTAGAATTTCTCGAGTGTAGATATTATTGCTAGAATTTTTCGTGTGTAGATGTTATTAATAGACACCGACTTATGAAGATGACCGTATAATGGTCTATCTATCAATTTCCTTGATCTCTTATTTCAGGCCAAGCCCAGCACTGACAATGACCAGGATGAAGAGACGAGGATCGAGATGGAGCGAGTGTGCGAGGACAGTCAGGTCTGCCAGAGCACCAAGAAGCCATCGTTGGCAACGCTCAAGGAACACAGAGATAACCACGCCAACGAGAGGGTTTCTGCATCGACTTCAGGTGGGTTCTTCCTGTTTGTTAGTACAGGCATCGGGGGTTTTGTTCAGATATTCATCATCATTATCATCATCATAATTATCATCATTATCTGGTGTCTTGTCGACTAGCACCAGGACAACCACACGAATGAAAGGCATTCTATTTCTAAGCCAGGTTGGCTTTTCCTGAAGTTTTTCTTCTACAGTAATGATATATTTGTGAAACGGCACTGCACCGCAGTGGTGTAGCAGCTAGATGATGGCCTTCGGGTCCTAACCATTGGTTCCATTTCGAGCAGAGCGGGACTCGAATTATGCTTTCTTCAAAACTGACCTCGTCTCTCAGGTCGACCTAGCCTTAGATAGATACCATATAGTTATTACTGGGAAGTAAAGGTGGTCGGTGTGATATTTACCACATCACCCACCGCGTGCCGACTGGTGTATAAAATACTGGTCTAGCCCTATATGCCTAATATGTATGAAAGCCTGTAAAATGTTTCTTTACCTGACTTTATTGTTCTCCCCGTGTGGGTTCCGGTGTAACATTGTAGGAAAAACAAGAATAGACCTACTGCCTACCCAACAAGCATGTCGTAGGAGTCGCTCGCAAGGCACAACCAAGTGCTCACAAAAAAAGCCAGTAAAATGAATGTGCACGGAAAATTCAGGCCCTGGCACAAAGCCAAAGTCTAGATGGACTAAAAACCACGACTTTTCGCCGGAGCTCCTATCCAGTTAACAAAGAAGAAGAAGAAGAAGAAGAAGAAGAAGAAGAAGAAGAAGAAGAAGAAGAAGAAGAAGAAGAAGAAGAAGAAGAAGAAGAAGAAGAAGAAGAAGAAGAATTTTTTTTTTTGGGTGTGTGGGGTGTGTTTTGTATGTTGCTAATATTTTTGTAAGTATGTTTTACATTCGTTGCCGTTTGTGAGTGTTATTGTGGTGTTGTTTGTGAGTGTTATTGTGGTGTTGTTTGTGAGTGCGTTCAAATGTTATTCAAAGATCAAAAAGAAGGGGAAAAAAACGAAACAAAGGAAGAAAGGTGAAAGTTCTGGGGGGGGGGGGGAATAAGGAGAGAGGGGACTCCACTCATTTATTTTTCCAACTGTCTGCAGCCAGAGATGATTCCGTCTTCTTTGATTGTTCTGTCTCTTCCGAGGCATTCTCGTGCGTACGTTACTTGCCTTCCTATTCTTGAGGGCTTTGCTAGAAGCAGATGGCACCGAACACAATGGATTTTATTCTTGGCATGGGAATATGTAGTTGTCTGTGCCTCACATTCTGGACATATTATATCCTTAAGGTGAGGCGCTGTATCTTCCTCTTCTGAGCTGGATGAAGACTCGTCCTTTCCCGGCAGCTGCGTCAACGTTGTTGGTTTTTTTCTGGAGTTCCTTGTTTGTGGGCTGTGTTATCTCTTTTCAGGGGTGTTGCTGCTGGTGACGTCTCGTTTGAGCTGACTTTTTGGCGGTTTCTTTTCTTGACTTTTCTATTCTTTTTGGTTCCGGTCTGCGTGTCCTCCTCTTCTGCTGAGGACTGTGTGCTTGTTATGAGAACCTCCTTTTGACTGTCTTCCAACTCTTTCTGGGATTGATGGTCCTCTTCCTGAATAAGTGTTGTCACTGGCTCAGAGCGTCTTCTTCTGGTTGGGCACTTGTTTGCCCAGTGGTCAGTCTGCTCGCAATGTGGGCAGTTCGTCCGCCTTCCTGGCACCGTGATCCAGAGCTGATGTCGGCCTCCGGGCAACTGCGCGTTCCTCATATTCACATAATGAGGACTCGGCTTTTTCTCCCTCACTAAGGCATACCACCTGTCTTTGCCGTATCGGGCTTGATAAACTTCAGGATCGTCGTCGCCTGTTATCTTTTCAGCTATCATCTTGGCTATCTGCTTGGTGGTCGTAATTGGCATCCAATGCATGCAGACTTTAGTTTTCTGTTTATCTAGGTGTTCTAGAAGTACGTCCACGCCTTCAATGGCCGTCCGCACATTGTGAAGTTTGTCAAAATTTGACTTGTGTGTTTCTCCTGTAAGAGTGAAGAACCACTCTGTGGGATTGTTGTAGCGATACAGCTCCGCAATGCCGTAGATAGGCACCCCGAGTGGGCCTATTAGCACGCTGGTCAACCAGGCAGGCTTTGCCCTGGAGGCGGCATCGTCACCGGACAAGGACATAACAATAGTACTACCTGTCCGGTGAATCCTTCCTCCAGGGAACGCGTCCAGTGGCATGTCCAGGCCCATGGTGGTGACGGCTGCTGCAGGCTGCATCTTGATAGTGGCTGTTGGTGGTTGTGTTGTTTCATTTGTTTCATTCATTCAGTCAACCTTTAGAAAAAAGAATAAGAAGAAGAAGAAGAGAAGAAGAAGAAGAAGAAGACTTTACGGTTGATAAAATACAACTACGGTTGATAAAATACAACTACGGTTGATAAAATACAACTACGTATGGTAAAATTTGCAGTTTGAAAAAAATATATACAACTGTATAGAATAGAAAGAATTAACAAACATTCCTTATAAATTTTCAGGCGACAAAAGCTGCAGATACACTCCCTTTGGAAAACTCAAGGGCAAAGTCAGTTACCCCGAACAGAGCCCCACATTCAGCAAAGCAGACAAGGAGTTTTACGTCCCCTGTCGTGGACTCAGACGGGAAAGTTGTCCCGTTGGAATCTTTTCTTCCCGAGTTCTAGACAGATCCATTTCGGAAGCATCTTGCGAAACGGATAGAACTGAAACACTCCAAAAGGAGTCTTTCGGCGAAATTTCGGCTTGCGTCGATTCCGACGAAGATTTGTCACATGAAGTGTTCCAACCGGCAGATTGCGCAATAGACGAATCGCAATCGAATGATAACGGAAATTCGTTATTAGTCTGTGAAAAAGAAGAAGAAATACACAGCAAAAATACAACACAGTATGTCTGTGATGGCACAAGTTCAGATGTTGTTGTGAATATTAGCTGATGACAATCTATGTAGTTGAATTACATCCTTTTTTTTCGATTATCAGCTTCAAACCTTACACAAATTTGGTATCGTCAACGAAGCTGATTTTGGCCTTCTGTGAGCAAGATATTGTGTTTTTAATTTAAGTCATAATTCTTTTGTCAAATGAAAGTAAAGAATTTAACTGTTAACTTAGTTGGGGTACGGAAACTCTGCCTTGGATGCTGAAGTAGGGTGGGGCGGGAGGGTGGGAATACCCTTAGTAAGAATACCCGGTTAGGTTCACACAAATCTCCCCAAACAAAGTAAGTCACTTTTCATTCATAAGTTTGTTGGGCTGGTCATATTTCCCGAAGGTTGAGGGTGTGTCCCGCTCTGTTGTTTGCTTTTTGTGTTGTCCTGCATTTTATGTTTTCATTCTGAGGCAGAGAATGCCTGTGATATAGTTGCAGCACTCTCTGGGGCTAGGGGGGGGGGAGGGTTGTTAGGGGTTTGTGTTAGGGTCAGCTTCTCCGTGTTTTTGGAGGGTTAAAAGTGCTGGCGTGCTGAGATATACAGTACGCAATATCAACGGCATTGTAGAACACCCCCGTAACCTTTTGCCAAAGTGACAGGTTCAGGAACTACCAATCAGAAGTGAGCTAGTGTATATAAGGCTAGGCGTGGGGAGACTAACGTAACTTTAACCGAATATCCTAAGTGCTGTGATACTAGTTCTCAGGTGAACAGTTTCACTGATAACAGCGGCTGCCTTCTGACCTTTAACTTTGACCTTTAACTCTGACCTCTGGAGCCCACTTCGTTCTTATTTGGCTAGAGGGAGAGCTACTTCTTTGAAAGTTGACGTCTGTGGCTGAGGCGTTGCAAACGCGTTTGGTAATGCCGGGGTGCCGGGTCCGATCCCAGCTGCGGGCCTGGCGCCTTGGGTTGGTTTCAAAAGTGGTATCAGGACGCCATACGTCGAGAAAGCAATGGCAAAGTACTAGACGTAAATTTGCCTAGAGAAACAACAGCCCAAAAATGCTGGGGTTGGTTCTGCAACGTCCTGTAAGGGATACACAACTAACTCGATGTACAGGATGTCAATCATCGATTCAGAGTAGTTAGAGTCCTTTAGATATCTTCTCTAGGTATGAGGTTGTGTTAGGACACGAACAGCCAGTTAGACCGGCTGGTTTTGCAACATTCGGTCTTAAACTGATGTCTGACAAGCTAGATATTGTAAGGGTCCTTTTGGAGCGAGTTAACAGTGCGAAGGTACAAACAGATCATCACGGTCTGAGGAGAATGGCGCTGCGAGGAGTTACCAGGGCATCTGGCCGGCGCTTAACACTCAAGCGAAAGGCGAGACGAATGTACAATCAGACAGTTACTGGTGTCATCGGAATTGAGACTCTACGCTTGCTGCTGAAGATGGGGTTTTCACGCTTATGTGAGTGTCCCAAGTGCTGCAATGCCGATCCCTAATTCAACAATGGATTGAAAGGCTGATTTCATTTAGCTAAAAAAAAAAAAAATAATCTTGTCAGGCTCAAAGGTTGCAGAAGTTTCCTTGTTAACTTATTAATGCTTGATGCAAAATAATTCATTGCAACAGATTTCAAATGATGTATTTGTAAATAATGTTTATACATTTGTTTTTCGCTTTGCCCATTATCAGTTTAGGATATTTTATGAGATTTAGAATGGGTTCGAGAAAACCCGAGGAATCCGGCGAACATTAAATGGGAGGAAATTGAAAAAAGACAGAAGTGGACAACAAATGACATCAACAGAGGTGGAAAAACGACAGAAGTGGACAACAACAGGTATCAACAAAGGTGGAGAAACGATAGAAGTGGACAACTACTGGTAACAATAAAGTTGGAGAAACGATATTGTTGTTGTTGTTATCGATCCAGCAGCACACAAGCTTTCGCCCTTTGGCCCAATGCCATGTAGTGGAATTTGCATGTTTTCACAAGCTGTTCTTTTCCTCCGTACAAGGTGTTCCACTTGTCTGGTCTCGGAGGGAGTAGCGTTCTTCTTGTCTCACTGAGTTTTGGGCACTCAAAGAGATGGTGTTCAACAGTTTCGTAGGGGTAGTTACATAGCTGGCACTCTGGGGAGCAGGGAGAAACGATAGAAGTGGACAACTACTGGTATCAACAAAGGTGGAGAAACGATAGAAGTGGAAAACTACTGGTATCAACAAAGGTGGAGAAACGATAGAAGTGGACAACTACTGGTATCAACAAAGGTGGAGAAACGATAGAAGTGGACCACTACTGGTATCAACAAAGGTGGAGAAATGATAGAAGTGGACAATTACTTGTATCAACAAGGGAGGAGAAACGACACAAGTGGACAACTACTGGTATCAACAGTTATAAGACAAAAAAGGTGGTGATATATTGGGTGAATCATGGGGAGAAACAGACAGAGTATCAGAAAACAGGCACTGGAATGGGATGCTAATGGACTAAGAAAATTGAAGATTTGCACAATAGTGTGCAAAAATCTATTATTTACTAGGTGGCAATTCACTTTTTGCTTCCACTGTTTAATGCAATTTGTACGATGTACACTGTCTTTCACAAATATGTATATATTGACACGAATAAATTGACTTTTTATTGAAAACCTGACTCGGTTCTGTATCTGTTGATCAAGAAACAAGTGTAGTCTGTTTATAAAATAACATCAGTATTTGTGATGTAATCATACTAAAGAAGCAAGCTTTAAATCAGTCGGCATACATAGCCGGGATACTAAAGAACATTACCACAAGGAACAACCAACTGTACATAAATAAGCCAGTAAAACGGATGTGCACGCAACGCTCAAACCCTGGCACAAAGCCAAAGTCCACATGGACGAACAACCAGGACTTTTTGCCGGGGCTTACAGCAGGTGAACAGAGAAGAAGAAGAGGACATTGAAGATGAAATCTAATGGCAATAAAGATAGCTGAGTATCCTATGTTCACAGGACGTAGGCTGATAAAGCAGATGTGCTGAAGGCCCTATGGGATCAAATGGACCGTGTCAAAGAATAGACAGGGAATCCATACACTGAAAGACTACAACGTTGGGGAAGTAGAGGTTCAGTAGGATACACACCATTGACGGGCAACCAGAGACGGACTTTTATTCAGTATGCAATTGACACTATTAGCAAATCGACTCTTCGTTGACTACGTAAGAAAGAGACGGAGCACGCGTGGGAATGTCCCGGGTGCAGGGATGTCAGTGCATACATTCATCATTCATTCCTTTATTCATTTATAGGTGGTTTAGTAGTGATTAGTGATTAGTGATTAGAAAGAATTATCATCACAGCACTCCTAACAGATCCATAGGTGCTCCGGTCTTCTCAGAAGCTCCATAAGTGTAAAACGACTGATGACGCCTGTTCTGTGTTGGTTAATGAAACGCCTTGTCTCTTAGTGAAATGTTTATTTCTTGCAACTAAAGACTGCACTCCCATGTCCATCAATCTAGACAGGGATACGGCACTGTCAGTGTCAGCAAAATATTCTGCACGCTCGTTCCCTCGAACACCCGTTGAGTGGTACTTGTCTGAAGCAAGTTTATCATCAAGTAGCAGGTATTTTGAAGAATGTCGCTCTGATCACAACCTTTTCATTCGAACCTCGGGATCTCGCCAGATTCCCCGTCTCGTGCACGTTCCTACCCAAGCTTTCACTTTTATCATGTGCCCAGCTTCGTGCTGGTCGACCCCTGCCCCTCTTTCCTGGCGCGATAACTTTTGCTACTATTCCTGGCAATTCTTCATGGCACTTCGTATAGCCAAAATATTTCTTGGAATCACAGTACACATAATCCACATATGTGCTCCACTCAAGTGGTTCAAATGGGGCCCCAGAACCCACACGGGGGGGGGGGGGAGGATTGTCCTAGGATCCTTCTGATCTGAGCAGTAAAATTAGAGTAGAGCACTTACACAGATAATGGTTAAATGTACACACACGCAGTGATTGTTTACTGACTCTCAGAGCATGTTGAGTTAGGGGAAAGCTTTGTGAAGAGTGGCAAGCATCACTTTAGAGGTGCTGGATAGTTGGCATTCTTTAGATATTTTCTCCAGGTCATACCGGTGTGCTGGAAAATTAGCAGGCAGACAAACTGGCTGGCTCTGCATCACTTGGTGGTGAACTGGTGCATGACACGTTAGAAATTGGGAGCGCCTTATGGGAATGGGTGAACAGTGAGGAGGCGCAGATAGATTATTACGGTCTAAGGTGAATAGCGCTGCGAGGCGTTACTACTCAGGGGGAGGATGAGATGGATAAACAATCAATCGGTTACTGGAACCATCAATATTTGAACTCTTGCTGCTGAAGATAGCGACTGAGCGCTTATTGGAGTGTCCCAAATAATGTGATATCCATTTCTAATTTAATATATTACATTTTGTTAGGAAAACGAGTTTTTACCAATGAAGTGAAGTCACCTTGTATCTCTCTATTTGTATCAATGTAAGAGTATCTCTCTATCTGTATCCATGTAAGATTATCTCTCTATCCGTATCCATGTAAGATTATCTCTCTATCCGTATCCATGTAAGAGTATCTCTCTATCTGTATCCATGTAACAGTATCTCTCTATCTGTATCCATGTAAGATTATCTCTCTATCTGTATTCATGTAAGAGTATCTTTCTAGTTGTATCCATGTAAGATTATCTCTCTATCTGTATCCATGCAAGAGTATCTCTCTATCTGTATCCATTTAAGAGTATCTCTCTATCTGTATCCATGTAAGAGTATTTCCTATCTGTATCCATGTAAAAGTATCTCTCTATCCGTATCCATGTAAGAGTATCTCTATATCTGTATCCATGTAAGAGTATCTCTCAATCTGTATACATGCCAGAGTATCTCTCTATCTGTATCCATGATCCCAGCATGGCTAAACAAACTTGACCTGTCGTATTTTTAACTTTGGACAAATGATGTTTGTTGATGGAAATGCCGGGGCAGCAAACTGCCTTGCGGGTATTGCAAGCTGAAGGCAA